GGCTGAGCTCGTAGATGATGATAAATAACATAGTTATGTATAATATATTACATTTCTGACTGTATATCCCTGTAATTATTACACACTGTAGCTTTAATATTAGAATACTACTGGTTTATGCTGCCCTGGGCAGAGAGTCGTTCCTGATGTCTAAAACTCGGTTCAAACCAGTTTATCAGTAGCCCACTGAGTCCAAACAAAGCAGCAGATTTAGACCAAAAAAAGACGGCCTAGTCAAAGTCCAGCCCTCCGCCTGATTAAGAGGCTGCTGTAGGACATCAGAAAGGTACGTAAAAACCTAAATGAACTCAAGCAGCAAAGCATTGTGGATAAAAGTGCTGCAAAGGGGTGTGGGACAGAGAGTAAAGACATTTTTAATTTAATAAAAATTTTCTAATAGAACCTCATGTTCCGAGGCCTTGATGTTCTGATCTGGGACCTGTCACCTGCATGAAATCAGCGGGCCGTGCTGACAGCAGCAGCATCACAGCGTGTCTAAATAAAGCCTCCACTGAGAAGCGGTGCGAGGCGGCGCTGTTTGTTTGAAATAAATAAACTTCCCTCACAATCACAAGCATTTCCTGTGTATAGGATTCTTTGGGCAGACGTGTAAATAAAGCATGATGAAAACCTCAGAGTGAAGGAGGGAGGGGCTCTCTGGGCTCGGCCTGTTCTTCTCTGTCCTGCAGAGGTTCCTGAAGTCTCTCCTGACCCGGCGGATTATTACCGAGCAGAGGGGGTCCTGTCTGACTGATTAGCTGTGAGAAGAATCAAACTGCCTGAAGGTCTCAGACCTTCTTCACCCTGACTTGGAGGAGACTACAGGTCCAGGAGGAGCAGCTGACTGGATCAGAGCCTCCTCTGTCGGTTCTGGATGTAGTTCAGCATGAACTCTGTTTGTTTTGTCCTTCTTCAGCTTCCATTCATCCTGAGCAACACGAAACGACCGCAGAACCAGAACTCATTTAGGTTTTTATGAGTCAGAGGCCACATTTCCATCTGATGATGTGTATCTTAGCGGCTGGACGGCTGCAAGCAGCAGGAAGGTCAGGAGTTGGAATCTTTCTGCTCTGCTAAGAGCATTCACTGACCTCCAGGTCAGAACATCCCCACCCAGAAAATAAGCTCCAGATAATGAGAATAAAGGTGGGTTGTCCTTATTTGAGCAAATGTGGAGAAGTTAATACTTTCTGCTCAGTGTCCCCTCTTTGCTGCATCCTTCTGCCGAGACCAAACCTTCTCATTCCTTTCTCTTCATCCCTGTGGGGCTGGAAGCAGTTGGAACACAGCAGCTAAAGGTTCACACAGCTGGTTAGAAACCAGCTCTAGATGGACTCCATGACCAACATGGCTGCGGATGGACATCATCTTGGTTCCATGTGGAATGAAGGCCGTCTGGGCTGGAAACATCAGCGTCTGGAGCTTCCTGGATCAAAAAGGCTTCTAATCCTGGTGTTTATTATATGTTTTCACTCGCTGCATAAACCACCTCCTCTTGTCCAAATACACACTCAGCACCAGGCGGCAGGGCAGGACTGTGATGAAGACGGATGGGCTCGGTTCAGGACCCATTAGCTGCTAATCACGTAAGGTTTACTCACTTCAATAAGTCACCAGGTCTGCCAGAGAGGCACTGATGCTGTTTACAGCTTGGACCCAAACACACCCGCCAGCAGCAGGAGTTCTGATGAAACGGGCCTGAACCTGGATGTGATGTTCAGGGACCCCCGGACTGCATGTGGGACCGAGACGAACACTGAGACACAGAGGCATCAAAGTTACAAATGAATACAATGATTAGTTTATATTAAACTATAGGAACATATTTATTTAATGATTATATCACCATATATCATGTTTAATAGAGATTTGAAAGAGGATCAAATAAGCACATGATTGAATGGTGTGTATATGTAGTTAAGTATAGGTATTCCAAAAAAAGTAAAAAACAAACAAATCCACTGGATTTTGTTTTCCAAGCTTGAAGACGTTTCCCTTCCCATCCAGGAAACCTTTTCTATTCAAAATGTCTGTTTCAATTCAAAAATCTCCCTGGATGGGAAGCAAAACGTCTTCAAACTTGGAAAACAAAATCCAGTGGATTGTTTTTTAACTTTTTTGGAATGAATATGACCTGGATTATTCACCAGCATTCAGTATAGATATAAATCATTCTGTAGTATGTTATCATTGGATTATATGTAATACAGTAATGCATAAATTATATATATGTGGTTATATCATGACCCGTTCCTTTTGAATATGTAAAATATTGACTGTTAAGCTGTTAAAAATTGTTAAGAAGTAAGCCAAAAGTTTAAAACTTCCTAAACATTTTCATTTCAAATAAATAAAACAAACAAGCTGTGTTTTAAATAAAAGAAAGTAGGATGGGGGCGGAACATTGGATCAGTTTGTAAAACTGAGTAGTAGACTGGCTCAGGTTATCCTGAGCTATCTCTATAGTTATGCTGCTATAGGCTCAGACTGCTGGAGGACATAGGGACCCCTTTTTCATCATTCTGATTTATTCTATCTCTATTCTCCCACTCTGCAGAATCTATTAGTTCAATCTCTAACTTTCTGCTCTCTCTGCTTTTTTTCATAGTAGCTTCATCTGGTCTGTTCCTTTATGGCTCTGACTCCATCCTGCAAAGAAATAGCAGCTGTGCTGCTGCCATCAATGCCTTTGTTTATAGATGTTGGAGTTTGGCCTGTTTTTCAGTGTTTAGTCCTGTTTCTCTCCTAGATATAGCTATGGGCTCAGGTTTTAATGTGACTAACTGGATTTTCTCTTTTTCATCCTCTGACATAAAAACTGGCTCAGAATTTGTCTGATCAACTGTTTCTTTCCCAGACAAACCTGTGGAGCTAGTTTACCGTTAGCTTTTCAAACATAGAAAGTATTTATAGATTAGTGATTCTATGTTTCTTTTCTACATCTACTCCTGCTCCTTGAACCCCAGTCGGCCTCAACAGATGGCCACTCACAGTGGGCGTGGTTTTGCTGGAGGTTTCTTCCTGTTAAAAGGGAATTTTCCTTTCCACCGTCACTACAAGCATGCTTAGTGTGAGGGATTACTGAAGAATTAACATTTACTGTCTACCCGCTCTTCATGTAAAGTCAATAATTGCTTGATCTGACTGATCAGGATATATAAACAAACGTGAGATGATGTGTTTTGATTGGGTGCTTCAACCAAAGAATTACACCGAAGCAGCAGAAATTCCTACTTTATTATTTAAACTTATTTTCCATCTCTAATAAAAGACATTTTCAGTGAGCAATTAAAACCACAATCCAGCTCTTTGTTGGAAAACAAGGTAGGGGTCGGCTTATGGTTATTTATCTGGATCATGACTCAAAGAACCAGATCCTGAAATGAGTTTCCTCTGCAGGATGGCTGGGCTCTCCCTTAGAGAGAGGTTGAGGAGCTCGTCATCAGGGAAAGCCTGAGAGTAATGCTGCTTCCCCTCCACATCCAGAGGAGTCAGCTGAAGAGGATCAGACATCTTTATCTGATGGTTCGTCATCCATTCTTTGCCTGCTTTGTGTGCCGGAGAAGGATGGAGCTGTTTGAATCAATAGCCCATCTTCCGGTCTCATTATTTTCACAGACTTCGAAGGACCCAGTCTAGGTAGACTAGGTCCTTGGAGGATGCAGCCACCTGAAATGAAACACATCCTGGGAGTCTCTGCTGAGGCTGCTGCCCCCAGATCTGGTCCTACATGAGTTTGAGGAACTGAGAAGAGAAATCCAGACCGTATTCAGATCTAAAACAATGTTGAAAATATTATAAAGCAAATAAAACCAGGAGAAAGAAAGAAAACAGAAAGAATCTAAAGTGGACAGAGAAGACGGACAAAACCAAAGTAAAAATGAGAAGAAAACTAAGAACGGATTAGAAAGCTATGATGGATGAATGTGAGAAAATTAAACTGGAAGATAAAAAAATGTAATATTTTACCTTCATAAAATCCCTCAGCAGTTAGTTTTGCTTCATATGATTCTGCTTTAACACAGAGAATTTAAACAGCAGTTTTTTCACATTTTCATGGGTTTTTTTTTTTTAAATGTGAAGCATATTTGAAGCTCAGAAGGCCGACTTTAAAACATCTGATGGAACATTTTCAGATCTGCTCTTCCTTCTAGAAGGTCAGTTCAGCCTAAACATGGAGGCTGTTCCTGCATGTGCTCTCAGCAGCGCTGCGACACTGAAACAAATATTTATTGTATGTTTAACATTTGGATCTCACTGTTGAAGCTCCACAAACTGAAGTTCTGAAGGAAAACATCCTGCACCCTCAGCTCAGCGAGTGAGACGTTCAAAATGTTTCAACATCTCTGCAGCTTTGCTTTCTCCAACTCTAAACAAACACTCACAATCCCACGGGGATGTGTGCACATGTGTGTGCGAAGGCTTGTACACGGCGGCAGGATTACCACCCTCAGACCGGGACCACCCGGACTTTAACACTTAATCCGGCCGGAAGCGGAGCAACGTCACAGAACTGTGAAGAGCCTGCTCAGTTTGTCTGCTCACCGACTCACACACTTCGGCTGAGGCCTAAAAGCCAAACAAACCGTTGGAGACTTATGCTATACAGCTGCTCTACAACTAACCCACCATGTTTGTTGAAGCTGGGTTTTCCAGAGGGTCTGTAAACGCGTTGACATGTTTAGATGTGCAGCCTGACTTTGTCATGAAGGGAACCTGGAAAATTACTTTTTGTTGTTTACAATGCTGACCTCCATAGGTCCACCTTGGTCTCCTTAGACCTCAGACCATCTACCTTTTAGTTTTGAGGATCATGAAGATGATACTGGTTTCATCTTCAGTTTGGTCGGCAGATGTTTTAACCGTGGACCTCTCCTTGAACCCCAGTGGGCCTCAAGAGAAGGCCGCTCTGGCTGTGGTTGTTATGTAGTTTTCCTCCCCACTCTCACCGCATGCATGCTCAATGTGAGGGAATGCTGAAGAGTAAATATCTCCTGTCTCTACCCGCTCATCCAGGAGGAGAGAATCCTGTAAAGTCAATAAGTGGATGATCTGGCTGATCTGGATCTATGAACTGACCTGAGGTGAAACCCTGCAGGCCCTGTTGATGATGCAACTCAGAGTTCTGATGACATCTGTTGATCCAGAACTGCCTGAACAATTGGGGTCCGCAACCCCTAGGGGGTCCATGGAGGTACTGCATGGGGGTTGCAAAAGTTTTGGTTGATTAGACTTTTTATCTATATTCCCTCATACAATTTTTTCCACTAATCGAAATGTTTTTAAATCCACATTAATATGAATTAAACACACTGTAGGAAACAGATAAATGGAGGCAGAAAATGTCTTTCAGTCATCAATGCACACATTCAGCGACACACAGGAGCTCTTTCAAGCTGGGCACCATTTCATTCACAACACCTGTCCCATCAACCAGGAATCAGAAATACTTTAATAATCCCAGGGAGAAATTACTTTCGTTACACAACTACTCCATCTGTATTAGAGCTACAAAAGGACCAGTTTGAGATAACACAAGTTCATACAATATATATAATTAGGGGGCCCACGCTTCATCTCATCATCAGTTTAGGGGTCCTTGGCCTGGAACATGTTGAAGACCCCTGCTAGAGATAATATTTTGGTTTCTTTTCTAACATCCTGGATTGTTGTCCATGTGCTCTTGGAGTAATTTTGGTGGACCAGACCCTCCCGGAGCTTCAGAACATCTTGCTTTGATGGTTTATTATTTCAGAACTGAGTTTTGCTGTTTGTTTGCAGGAGCAGAAGAAATTAAAGATGTTAATAAAAATGTTGGTAAAGAAGCCATTTCCTCCTGTTTCTCTGCATGTTTGAACTTTCTGAAGCATTTTGCTGCTTTCATTTTCCAGTAGGTTTCAGACCCTTTAAAGCAGGGGTGTCAAAACGGTTCCAGAGAGGGTCGTGAGTCAAGTGAGTCCAATCTGAACATGATGACTTTATGAGATGACTGGAGTCTGGTGAGCTATTGCTTGGTTGGACAGAAAACCTGCAGCCACACGGCCCTTTCTGGAACCACTTTGACATCCCTGCTTTAAAGGTTTGCTTTGTCAGTCTGGGATTTGAACCCCAGACTGTCCTGCTAACCAGTTTGCTGACATGTTTTTTTTTTTTTTTTTGTTTCCCTTCAGAAGAAGCAGATCCATGAGATGAAGGATCTACTCTGATGTTTAGAGTCTGTAGGGGCCTCAGAGCGGCCCTCACGCTGAGGTCTGGCATCGATTAGATGGAGCAGGGTGTTCATAGTGTGACACCGCTGACGGGCCTTTCACAGCTCATTGCATGTCCTCCAATCAGAGAGCAGCTAGCGTGACTGCTGTTTATTTATATGGCGAGCTGGAAATGTGGCTGAAGCTCTGGAGAACATTGTCTCCATCAACACGCCGCTCTTAGTGATGCAGACTAACCAAAATGTTCAGGTTTCCATCTGTTTCTGCTGAGATGTTTCTCCTCTAGAATCACCGTCAGGCTCCAGTTTATTTAAATCATGTCGGATAATCAAAGCCTGTGTTTGTGTGTCTCTGAGATGAGACGCAAAAATAAATAAACCTGACTCCATTTTCTCATGCTTCAAAAATGACTTGGGTTATTTGTTTAGCTTCCAGTATTAAAAACCTGAGTTCCTGGGGCCCAACTGGCCCCAGAACACCAAAAAGAAAAAAATCCCTGAAAATCATCAACATTAGTTTCAACTTGCTTGATCTCTGATTGGGTGATGCTGATTTGGTGATAAAAGCATCGCCTGTTTTCATAATAATGAAGCGTAGAAATGAAGGATTTAGATGATTATTTTCAGTACAATTCATCAGAAAGGAGGAAGAATTGGAGGAAATACAGTTTATAAAATTATAAATATTTTTCATCTTGGCTTGAAAAAGCCAGAACAGCTGATAAACATGAAGTAAACTATCAGTGAGCTTAAAAGACTCCAGATGTTTTCAGGTCATCACCTACATTTGGGCAGCAGAGTTATGGAAGCATGAGAGAGACCTGAAACAAATCAAGCCGAGAGGAATGATCCTTAAATCACATTTACAATTTATTCACCTGGTTTATTGATATCATACATTAAATGGTTGAAACCCAGAACAACTGATGGACCTTAAGGGGCCTCAGTGAGGAGAGGAAACCTGATGCTGATCCACAGGCAGGAAACATGGAGCAGCACAGAAAACCTTCCTCTGAAGAGCCACCACAGGGAGGCGCTACACACACTGGAGCAGTGAATTCATATGAGGCGCAATACTGCCCCCTAGTGACAGCACAAAGTAACAGCAGGGAGTCCTCAGGGAGACCTTACAAGACAGATGATGAAGTAGGTAGGATCGGTGGGAGATTCAAGGTTTCGTTTCTGTCAGTTAAAAGGTGAAGCCAGAGAACAACAACAACAACAGAACAGTTAAATAAATAAATAGACGTCTGAACATCAGATCACTGCAGGCCGAGTCCTTCGTGAGACACATTTCAGAGGGAAGAAGAGCAGAACCCAGAGTGGCGTCGCCATGAACACTGGAGGACTTTGCTTCCTCTGCAGAAATGATGCTCTTATTTTATTGCTCATTATTCAACCCTTTGCAGACTGGAGATGATCATTTTCAGGACTGAACACCATAAATATGAAATGGACGTGGAGCGGGAGAGAAACCGGCGCCGTCCTCCGCCTCACTCTGCCGCCATCTTCTCAATGTGTTCTCTCAGCAGCTTGTATTGCTCTGCAGGCAGAGGAAACACACCAGTCTGATCATCTCCAGTTTAGTTCTTAGCAGAGAAAGATGCAGACGCACAAAATGAGAAATGAAAGGGATGGAGAAGCAGGAATGACAAAAAAAACAAAACAAAATACTGGGCTTACTAAGACTGTTCTGAAACCACCATGAAGGTCTAAATGTGTTTGGAGATGGTTTTTTTGTTTTTGTTTTCAGGAGTATCAATTCTTCCCTCCTCTGCTGCCTTTTACAGACCAGGTCTGAATTCATTCAGTAGCTAAATCAGCTGATCTAGAGCCGAGGCTGCAGAGACTTGAAGAAATTATCCAAATAGTGGTTTATCTGGTTCAAATAAAATGTGGGTCGCCTCTTTAAGTTTGCTGCTGGGAAACAGGCTCAGAGACGGTTAACCTATCACATGACTAACGGGGCTTTAAGGGAAGATTCAGATGGTTGTTTTTATTTAAAATGGAACCAAGTTAGAGCAAATAAAATGAAGGAAAATTTATGAGTAAATTCTGGATTCTCCCAAACTCAGCTGCTAATCTACAGCAGAATGAAGATGCAATGGTCCAGTTAAAGTCCAGATCTCAACCTGAGTGAAACTCTGTGGTGGGACGGCTGTGCAGAAACAAACATCATGTATCATGTCTCTGTGAAGCTTTACCTTCATTTAGATTTCCGATGACGGCCTGCTTCGTCAGGAAGTCGTTACAGAGGCGCTTACTGAGACCAAAGGCCAGCATGTTATGGGTGAAGGTCCTGAAACACAAACAGAATCAAATGACAATCTTTTTTTTTTTATTTCACTGGATTTTGATTTTAATCTGGTGAACTATAAAGTGCTTTGAGATGACATGTATTGTGAATTGGCGCTATATAAATAAACTGAATAAGCAGGATTATTATACAGGGTTATTGCACAGGGTATTTATATAGATGTATTTATATAGCTATTGCACGGGGTATTAAATAGTAATTGCACATTATACATCGCACAAGTTATTGGAGTTGTAGTGTTGCATTTTATAGTCAGGGATGAATGACCTGCGGTGGCGCTCCTTTTTACCATCAGGGTGTAAAAGTCTTTCATTAAAGGAGCTGCTCAGCTCCTCTACACTGTGGTGCAGGGGGTGAGATGTGTTGTCCATGATGGAGGTAAGCTTGGACAGCAAGTTGATAAAAACTGGACTCCTCCCTATGATGTCATGCTGCACCCACAAACCTCTGACGTCATTTTTTTCATTTTCTTCCCTTAAATGACAATCTTAAACCTTGTTTATGTGAATATCCCTAAAGAAACCTCCAGTCCAACCAGCTGCCTTCAGTTGTAACCTAATCTCAGCTAAGTGGCTTTATTCCTGAGAGGCTCCATTAGGAGGATTCCCTGGTAATATTGGGGGTTTCTGTCCACCTCACCCCTCTGTACAGAGTGGTTCAGCAGCACCTAATTCTTTTCCTTTGTCTTGGAAAACATGGCATCGCCTTCTGTCGCTTTGCAGATGGCTACCTGATTTTTCACGCTTTAACAGCCTACAGTCTGTGCTCCAGCAAACCCCTTTTAAAATTCAGTTCAACTCAGGTCAACACTTTATTACCGTTGGGTTACTACATAATGAAGCGTCCTTGCAAAGGTCCTTGAAATACTTGTTGCTGAGCAACTTAAAAATGTCATTGAATTAAATACAATAATCAGTCTGGTTTTAGAAAACGGCAGCAGAATATCTGCTGATGTGATGGTCTTAAATTGCATTGCAACGCACTTTTTACGGAACTTTCGAAGGCTGTTGATGCCGTCGACCATTACAGACTGCTTAGGAGTCTCTGACATTGGTCTTTCTACCGAGGCTGTTCATTGGTTCTCAGATGATTTATCAGGGAGGATGCATTGTGAACATTTTTCTGGATTGTCATCTTGCCTTCTTCCTGTTACAAAGGGGTCCCCCATCGATTTATCTTTGGTCCACTGGTCTTTTCCATCTATATTAATGATCTGTGTTGTAATGTGTCAAATTCCTTTTTTCATTTTTTATGCAGATACTGCCTCATCTACTTTTTCATGCAGATGAGGCAGAGGACAAAGTCATCTACTATCTTATGCAGATGACGCAGTCGTCTACCCTTTTATGCAGATGACTCAGTCATCTACTATCTTATGCAGATGACTCAGTCGTCTACCTTGTTATGCAGATGACGCAGTCATCTACTGTTTTATGCAGATCACAAAATCGTCTACTGTTATATGCCGATCACGCGGTCATCTACCATTGCATGCACATGACGCAGTCATCTATGGTTTTATGCAGATCACGCAGTCATCTACCGTTTCAAGCAGATGACGCAGTCATCTACCATCTTAAGCAGGTGACTCAGTCACCTACCCTTTTATGCAAATGATGCAGTCATCTACTATCTTAAGCAGGTGACTCAGTCGCCTACCCTTTTATGCAAATGATGCAGTCTACTATCTTAAGCAGGTGACCCAGTCGCCTACCCTTTTATGCAAATGATGCAGTCTACTATCTTAAGCAGGTGACTCAGTCGCCTACCCTTTTAT